GGCCTGACATTTCATTTCCAAACTCAAAGTGGCTCTGCGGATGGTTTCTTTTTTTTATCTCACATGCAGAGGAGGTTAGACACCTGCTAAGTCATCTCCTGTTTGACCAAAAGAAGAGGATGTAGACACACTGGGCGACACTCCTGCTGTCAGAACAGTTGGGTTTTATTTCTATCCTCGGGCAAAGTCTGCTGTGATTGTGTGTGTCTGACGAAGAAAGTCACTCAAGTATCATCCTATGTTCCTTCTACACCAACAACTGGGATTTGGCAGTTCTGACAGCCTGCATTATATCATGGAGAATTGTTCTGTAAAGGGTAAAACACAAACAGTGCACCACGATGAAAGACGGCACCCGACAAGGGAATGTAGAGAAACAAAGCTGGCGATTGGTCATTTGTTGTTTACTATAGCACTAAAGTGCTGAAAGTCAGTTCAGATACACGGAAATTAAGTGAAAGTGCTATTGAAATGAAAGAAAAGTCCTAGTAGAGAATGCCAGATAGCATGTCTTCCCAATCTCCGTGCCGTATCCCTCGTCTCCCTCTGGCCTCCGCCCCTCTATCTCTCTTACCGCACTCATCTGTTTTCAACTCTGCCTTATCAGGACCAGATGGATCCCACTGTCTCTCCCTGCATCAAGGCTACGCAGCCTCGCCTCTCTCCCGACCACCTTTCTCCCCCTGGCTTCGCTCATTTATGACACCCCACAGATTTTGTCACTCTGCGGTTTCTGGCACGGACCAAGGATTACCGAGCCAGAGTCTCCATTTCACCGAGCAAACAATGGAGCATAAGAACGAGGAAGAGGCTCTGGGAGCACATACCGGGCCCTTTTCCCTCTGTCTCTTGGATCTGCTTTTCCAGTATTTTCCGGCATTTTTGCTTGGATTTTTTTTCCCCCACCCGAAATTAAAGAAAAACACGCTGAAATGTTTTTCCTTTTACAATATTCTAATTATATGGACATGCACACTTATTTTAAAGTACGGTTTTTGTTTCACAGCAAATCACATGCAAGACTGTGTCAATTTGCTTCAGTTTTGGCCGTTTTTGAGAAAACTAACAACATAAAAAAAAGTCACTTTCTCCGAAATATGTGCTGCAGCTCGGTTCCAGGCCTCGGAACTGGCGTATTCATTACAAAACAATGCTTTTGTTGATACTGCTGATGTCTTCTTTAACTGAGAATTAAAATAAATGACATTTTGGTATATACACTGACGGCTTTCTTACAGACATCACTGATTACTTGGCAAGGTTGCCGCAGCGGCAAAGGCAGACAATTGGAAGAAACGGCTCTGGATGGATCACATGTAGGCTCCCATTTCTAGTCTTAATGATTTGTACAGATGTATAACAGCAATGAAAATAGATGAGTGTGGATATTTCCTTCTTTTTCCAGCATCTTGCACATAGAGCACATTTGGTTGTTCGTCCTAAATCTGCTGTAACACTGTTATCTATTTTTGCTATATGTGCTGTTTTTTTCAGGGAAACAACAAGGATATAAATATTAAGGATCAAGACATATTATTTCTTTTGTGTCCTCCCTTTAATGAACCCACTTTCTGAATAACTTTAGATCAATTCTGCACATCCTTTTACATTTAATCTTCAACGCCCTGCACAAGACAGTGAGGGGAACTGACAGTGAACTCATTGTGTGAGATCTCTGCTGAAGACAGGGAACAGAGCTCTGAACACACACCCTTCTCGTGAAGTTTTTGAAGTGCCGCCATTAGTCTTCACCTACTGGTAAATGGCGTCCTGGCATTGAAAGCTGTTTTTACATTAACTCATTGTTTTACCTTTTTTATGTTCTCTATTATCTGTTTAATGATGTTTCTGCCCAACGCTGAAGATCGCAGAGAATCACTGTCTTCCTTTGCTCCGCTTAATTCATCGTACGATGAGATTGCAATAATTCCATTTGAATTATGACACAGTTTCTGCATCCGTCTCTTCCAACACTTCTTTCCGCTCCGCTCCATACAAGCTCCATTTGTGGGAATCAGACATCCTGGAAGTGCCAGCGTTTCCGATAGCAACGCAGAGGATATTGATAAAAATATGACTGAGACCAATGAGATGTGACAGTAGCGGCGGGGGTTGTCAAAGGGAGGCGTGCGGTCGGGGGAGTTGAGGCAGAGGTTTTGAGCCAAATGGGCCCCTTTCATGTGGTGCAACTCTGCCCACTTGAGAGGCTAGTGTGAAGTTACAAGATTGGACCCAACTGGGATGAGGCGATGATGGGTCCCACTGTCAAGATGGCCGTGACGAGAGGAGCCACGCTGGTAGCAGAATCCGCAGCAGATGCAAAACCTTTTCTGCAGTACAAACCCCTCCCCACACACTCTCAACATTGCAGGTTAATGGCTCCAGAAGTGGGGTCACAATACTTACTCAGTTCATGTCAAATAAAATCTAGGAAAAAAAAAAAAGGCTGATTACGAATCATGTTGAAATGAATTACTAGGCTGAACAGTTTCGCGTTTTGAGTTCAGGGTTTGTTCAGTTTGTAAATTACTGATTTCAGTGAACATAATGTTGCTGCACAAATTATATACTTTTGAATTGTTATAAAAGGATAATACAGCCAGAAAATATACACATCTTGAACATAAGTAAATAAAGAGACTATTGCTGATGTATAAAACAAAGGATGAATATAAAAAATACAATTTCAGACTACTGTGAAGAACGGTGAAGGATCTGTGATGCTGTGGGCCGGTTTCTTTTCCAAAGCCCCAGAAAATCTTAAGGTGCATCTTTTTAAAAACGCTGGAATGTTATATACAAATCTGAAATGACAGTGCCAATATGTCTATAAATAGGATAATGATTTTACACATATTTACAAATTGTTTTTTTTTTTTAGAATAAAAAGTGTAAACCAAAGCAGTCAAAGCAGCTACAGGAACAGACACAAATACAGAACAAAAGGAATTAAAACATTAAGTGTAATTTTAATCGCATTTTTTTTTTAATTTGACATATGTTTTAGCAAACCACAATCTGTTTTCAGTAAGTAGTCTAACACAGTGCAACACCAAAGCACCGTTTAATACGGCTACGATATTTATGCTAGATTCCCACAGCGCACAGCCCCAAACAATGCAGACGCTTTGCCAAAACATAAACCTCCTCATTACAATCAATCACATCGAGATTTTAGAGACGTAACGCCTGCAGTACCTGATTGGTACAGCTCTGTATACACTGGAGCTCTGTAAAACTTTTACAAGGCACCGAAAATCTTGTTCTATTCAATTTCTCTGTATGCTTCCCTCAACGAAGCTCTCCTCACCTATGAGCCAATTAATCCTATCTTAAACTTTATAAAGCTTATTTCTCGCCTGAAAAGCTCAGGCTTTGTCTGTTCTATGAACACACATTGATAAGAAAAAAAGAAAGAAAGAAGCCTGACCTGGGGCCCCAGAAATGTAATCTTCAATCAATCATAGTCTTAAACAATAAACCCCAAAGCTAAATCCAACCTCAACCACAGACCCACTTTATGCTTACATAGAAATCGAGAGTTATGCAGAGTTCAGGTATTACCTACCCATCTATCAGGTGAAGGAAAATCTGAAAACAAAACAGGATTTGGTAGTATTTGCCAATGGCAGCAATGTGGCGTGACAAAGCATGTGGGAGTGTGTCATAAGGGTGTAGCCAACAGCTTGTAAAATTACAGATGCAGGGGAGAAGGGGCATATGGCTAGACTCTGTTATTCTTGCTACAGACAAGAGGTGGAAGTCAAAAGACAAAAAAAAAAAAAAAAAAAAGTTCGGAAGAGGTACCAGACCCTGTGGTTTGGCAGGTTAAACAGCAGAATATGGTTGCACTTTAAGAGCCATCTGATCCACAGCTAACTAGAGCCACAGTTCTGTTTGGACAAGGTACCAAAGAGAAAAGAAGGAAAAAAAAATATTTCACTTTCCATAGTTCTCCCCATGCCATGGCAGAAGAATTAATGATCTATGCTTTATTACTTGTTTCTTCCTCCCTTGCCTTTTTTTTTTTTTTTTTGCTGTTTTTTTTAGACTCCGTTTTTTAAACTTCTTATGAAAAAAATCAGGAACTTTGTCTTCAATCTTCTGCAGCCTGTAACAGTTTTTTTTACAGGATTCCCCTGTATTCAACTCCATCAACTCCAACTCCAAAAATAAACATATAGATGATATACTGAGCCTTTTACTTGTCTACAGCTGGACGCTGACAATTCACGCATCGGCATGAGCTGAAACCACACTGTTAATAAACTCAAAACTACATGCACTGAACATATTTCATCTAAGAACCGCATGGAAACTCTACACAATGCTACAGCGACATAATGCATGGCTATAATCTATCTGTGCAACCACATGAAGTTCAGCAGTAGCATAAATTATGGTGCAGGAAAATAATTAGACGCTCCAGAGGTGTGGAGGAAACGTCTACGTAAATGCAGTACACATGTACTGAGTGGATAAAGCTTGAAACGGAGAGTGTACGCTTATTTCTAACATCACTTAAACACCAAAGTAGATAATTAATGCAAGTGATTTTCACAGTTTTGTATGAGGAAGACTTATTGCAGTGTCCTTGTGGGAGGATCAGCATGGGTGGGCTAACAGGCACACATGCAGCGTTGGATTAGAAAGTGGTACACCACATCGTTTTATGACCGAGACATCTCTACACGGCCCTGCCTGTTTGATGGGACCTTTGACGGTCCTCCCCCTCAATCATCTTGCTCCCTCTTTGCTCGTTCCATCAAGTTTCTTTGTGTCATTTGCGATTAACGTCACAACCATCCACGAGTCTTCTTCCTCCCTAAACCTCAGTTTCTTTTTAAAACTGGCCTTTTCCTATCTAAAATGTCAGATGAACGTAAGTAGAACTTCCATTTAATTCACTCTAACGAACAGTATAAAAAGATGTTGTGCACACCTCAAATAGCTATGGTACTGTGTAAAAATGTAAGTGTAAGTTTAAAGGTTTAAAGTACCTGACAGTGAAAGATGTACTCTGGTGTAGCCTTCTTAAACTTGATGTTCCACACCAGGGCAACGCCATCCGGTTCGTGGGGAGCATCTTCATTGTTATTGTAGGACGCAACCAGTAATTCAGGATACTGCAGGAGAAAATGAAAGACACCACAAGGGTCAGAGAAAGGATGACAGAGAGACACGCGTTTAAATAAAAAGAATCAATAGAAAGATCATCTCGATCCATGTAATTCTTTAAACTGCCGTCAAGTTGTTCCTGCCTTCCCATGTTGGTGTTTAGAAAGACAGGTGTTAAGTGGGTCTAAGCTTGAGATAATGAAGTAGATTTGGTGAAATATCAAGTCCTGTCTCGTTTTTAGCTACGAATTTCACTCTTGATTTTCTCCAGTTCCGAAAACATCCGTCTGCGCTTTTAATTTATATAGTGTGCTTAACTTAGTGAACCAAATCACGGAAATAAATACATTTGTCAATAAGTTGTCCGTATGCATACATGGCATGTTAGAGTTGCAGCGTGCATGCAATGATGTTTTTCAACATGTCATTTTGTCTTCCTATGCCACTGAAACTAAAGGCAGACACTCGATATTGTGAAGGGAATCTTAGACTCAGAACAAGAGGAAATTAATCAAATAGTAAAAGTGTCATATGGCATTATTGGGTGAGATTTAAATAAACTGAAACACAAAAAATATCAGGTCTCACCTGAGGGGACCAGTCGAGGCAGGTAATAACACGATGTTTGGACCAGTGCTCATCGTAGAATAGTCTGCAGAAGGACAGACTAGAGCCACTTCCCAAGTCTCTGCAAGCAGACAAGATGACGAAACTTGAGATGAATCAAAACCAAATCCAGATCCTCTTCCAAACAAACACAGGTAAAATCGCATCAGGTTGAAAGCATGCACCTGCTGGTGCATGACGAGATCGTAACAACCCAAATAATATCATCAGATCATAAAACTAAGACCTTTACAAACTAAATATCTTAAATATCTTAATGTTTTAAATCATTCCATTCCAGTGTAGCTTTGCCTGTTTGTTGGTGTTCTACTGGAAGATAAACCTCTGGTCCTGTTCCAAGGTTTTTAAGCCTCTAACGTTTTCTTCCATGTTTGCTTGCTACGTACAGTAGTTCTACCCATCTTCTCATCAATTCTGTCCAGGCTCCCCGTCACAGCAAAAGAAAAGCATCCACATCCACAAGCATCTACTGAGACCGAATGTGTAGCCTCATTGGTGTTGTCAAAATCCATTCACAGGCTCCAAACAAGGTTAAACAGTTTTACGTCTCCTAAGGGGCAGGAAGAAAACTGTGTGCCTTGCTTGTCATCTTAGAGAGTCTGTAATTTCAGCCAGCGATGATCATATTCCTTGGGGTCAAACTACATGTTGCTCTGTTATGTCACTGACCACAGCAGCAATCTGTACAACAAGAAGTTATTTCTTGGTCTAAAACCATCCATGACAAAACTGAGAGGACAAAGCAACTGGACTACAAGCAGGGTTTTTTTTTTTTTTTTTTTGGAGTACTAATTAACAAAATATATATGCGCCATTCTTACAGTGTTGGGTGAGACTGTATATAATAAAACAAGGCAGTGGAATGTGAGTTATGTACTTATGCTCTTAAAAGCACATTGCTGGGGAGAAGAAAAAAAAATAACAGGTCCGATCTTGAGCAATGGGCTACGGCCTCTTTTAGACATAATCTTTATTTGACCACAGGCTTCATACTTCGCTGTGGCTGCAGCGGTCAAAGTTGAAGTAAATCAGTAAAAGCAGTTGTTCCATAATAGCAGCGCAGTAACCTAAAACAGCTTTGCACTTCTGGCTAGAACAACTCCAGCCGGCGGCTTGATAACCTCTATTTTGGAAGCAGTCGCTCAGATGGCAAGACAATGCTCTTGTAAGAAGCAACGGATGTCACTTCACAGGAATCTTTAACCATCTGAGAGTGTGACCTCACTATGAAAACATGCTTTTCAAAGAGCAAAGCAGCTCCCGGGCCCCAAGTGGGACACGGTGGGTTTGAGTCACTTTTAGCACATCTGCAATTTGGAAAAGTGTCAATAGATGCTTGGTGTGTGGACCAAATTCACTTTGCATCCCCATTCTTTTTAAAAATATGAACAAATAATTGCTTTGGGGTTTTTTTTAATGATGGGATTCAAACTTTAATTGAATTTCTGGCAGATGCATCAAAAATTCTCACCCCTCTTTGTCCTCAAGGTCACGGCCGCTGTAGTCGAATAAGATGTCACTGTCCTCAGCGAGCGCTCTTTCCATCACCCGGATGCTACAGTCGAAAAAACTCTGAAACTCTGACAAGTGCAGGATCTGTTGCCTTTCCTCTTCCGTCAGTTCCCGCAGAACAGGAAAAGAACCTACAGTAAAAAAAATTTAAAAAAAGACATCATAACAGGAAATAAAACTGAAAACTCGTACAATGTCTTGTTCGTATTTCACCCAGAATCCACACAATCAGTGCTGCCACTTCGCCCACGCGCATCGCTGCGCGTAGCGCACCAAGTGGCTGGTGGCAGGTTCATTTGTCATGAATCAGGTTCATGACAAATCATCAAATTAAAAAATTTAAATTGTTACTGTTGTAATAAAAAAAACTGCAGCAAAGCATCAAGTTATTCCCTCTTCAAACAACAATAAAATACTTTGAACGCATAAAAATCATGAAAAACTGATTAATACAAAAGCACCAAGGACATGAGAAATGACCCCAGCTTTTGATTTGTTTAATGTTTTTTTTTTGTTTGTTTGAAACAGACACTAACTCAAAGCCATAAAAGAAATTAAAATGTTTCTTTTAGTGTTTTTGTAAATAGAACAAATATTTCAAAAAAGAGTTTACTATGTGCTTGCTTGAAAGTGATAGAATTACATAAAGACCCATTATAGCATTGTGGAAAAAAAAATTAAAATAAAGAAAAACAACTTATATTTTGGACACAAGTAAAAGAAACACTTGTTCTGGATGTAACAGATATAACTTTTTCTTCTACCCACTACTTACTTTTCTCCTTCTTTCCACCACCCAAAAACATGTTGTCACCTTGAGTGGAGAGACATGCTGACCATATTAAAACTGGTCGCTAGTCATGTGTTAAGTATCTCTAAGCGACCAGATGTGACACTTTCACACCAATCTAATAATAGTCAAAGGCTGCTCTTAATCAAAATACCATATTCTCATTAGAGTGGATCTCTCTCACTCGGTCCTGTTGTTGCTGCGCTACAGCTTGGTCTGGTAAAGTAATTGTAAGCTAGCATATTAGGCCCTGCAAAAAGGGATTAGCACTTTAAGACTGATATCCTATTAATATATGCTTGACATTCTTATTTTGAGAAAGTAGTTGCTGAGTTGTTCTGTTTTGTTCACAGAGTTTAGTGAGAAACACGGCTCACCAGGCTGGTTAGTTAAATGCAGAAGAAGCCCAAGTAACCATGGAAACATTTTTTTTTTTTTTTTTATGGCAACAGGGTGAAAGAAAATAACGAGTGGGAAAAAAAATACAGTAGGATCAATTTCTATGTTAGTGGAAGAAAAATGATGATGGGCAATGCAGTTAGCTAAAAAATTAAAAACAAAAACACTCGTTAAACATATATTAGTTTGTGAGTCAGTACACAAATTTGTTATTACACAGTTTGGGATTCAGGCCACTTTTAAACCTGGACTGAACGGTAATCATGGAAACTTTTAAATAGTTTTTTATTTGAAACTTTTACTGTAATTGTGGAAAACGAGGATTCCTATTCCTATACTGACACACCATGGGAGATGCATTATTTTTGCCACACTCCCACTTCTAGGAGACAGATAAGTGACAACTGAAAACATATTAATTTGAGAAAGCAAAAACAAATGAAGTAAAGCCTGGAAAAAAAAAAAAACTTGACTGATTTACAGTTTTAATTAAAAATGCCATTGCTAGCATTTTTTTTTTTTTTTAGAAAAATAAACAAACAAAGGCACTGTCCTCTCTGCTTCTTCAAACAGATTAGCATTCTCTTTATCTCAATGAAAACCAGAACCAGAACATCATAAACTACAGGCAGTTTTAATGGATGTTTCCAAGTAAAATCCTTCAGCGAGAACTTCATAAACAAGAGAAAAACAAAGCCCTGTGAGCGGCCCGCTTCCCTTTGAACGTAATGGCTGCACAGCAAGGCGTCCGGTTTTTGAAGTCACTGTCCCCTAAGCGCACACGGCCTTTTACGCACAGACACGCATGCATGCAGGCACACATGTATCGACCTTTCCCCCTGCCTCTTGACTTTGATCCCCTCATCCCTTTGTATGTTCTTACGAGTTGTCAGAAAAGACCCAGTGAATCGAGTGGCACAGATCAAAGGCTGGGCTTTCTAATAGGCCAGGATGAGACGGGTGATTGTGTGTTTACGAACGCGTGCTGCAGCCAAAACAAAAAAAATAAAAAATTCACTTTATTCAACTGAACATACATCTGCAGCTTTATATTAATACACCCCAAAGGCCTTGTGTATTTTTTTTCTATTATAAACTACACAAACCTTTCACATGGTCTTGCACACAAACACACTTGTCTTTCCTTTGAAATGTGGCCAGAGGGTCAAGTGACACGTTTTTAATCAGCGCTGACCCCCACATGCCATGGAGCTGATATGGCGGACCCTCCTTAACCTCAACCTCAACTGTAACCTACCCCCTCCCTCCAATCAGATACAGCCACTGACTGGGCAAAAAAAAAAAGAAAAAAAAAAAAAAAAAGAAAGACAGTGTCACACATGAGCGGCCGCGTTTCATCACAGACTCACCAGCAACATGCGAGAAGCTGAGAGGCAGGAAGACTGCAGGGGAAAGAATGAGAGCTTTTGTCTTTTCTGTAATCTGTAATAACAATGTGATATATATATTTTTAAATAACCCCCCCCCCCCAAAATATGTAGTGTTGTCAAAAATGTTGATGAAGAAAGAAAGCGGGAGGAACATTAAAAAAAACTAGAAAATGAAAATTTGTTGTATACTTATTTGTATAGTATTGTTTTTGCCGAGTGATTTATTACACATCGAGTCTAGAAAGATAAGAGGGGATGTCATTGATTACAGGTATTATCACACAATGTTATTTAAATAATCTAATGATTTAGACTAACCTATAAACCATTTAAACTTATGAAATTAGTTATGACAATCTTTACAGATAGGACAATCTAAAAAACACCAGAATTTGTCAGTTGATTAATTTTTTGTTGTTGTTTTTTTATTTTTTTTTTAGAAAAGTTTAAAATGGGACAGTTTGTAAATATAATAGCAATCGTACTGATCTCATCATCAACGATTAATTTTTCATTTTTTGAGCTGATGTTCTGTCATTTTCAGTAATAGTTCCCCGACCCGTAAGTAGAAAGATGTCATATCATCCTGAGGTTGTTGCAGAGAGCAGTGCGAGCCAACAGCTAATGAGGCGTTCACTGTCTGCTTTAGCTGACTTTAGTCATTTAAAACTCCATATCTAAATGTTCAGATCAGAGGGGAAACAGCTTCCACCACTCCAGGGATGCTGTCAAGCTGAAGAAGGAGTCCTATCGGGCCTTTTTGACCTGTGGGACTCCAGAAGCAGCTGATGGGTACCGGCGGGTGAAGCGGCATGCGGCTCGGGTGGTTGATGAGGCAAAAACTCGGGTGTGGGAGGAGTTTGGAGAGCCCATGGAGAAAGACTTCCGTATGGCGTCGAGGCGATTCTGGTCCACCATCCGGCGTCTCAGGAGGGGGAAGCAGTGCAGCACCAACACTGTTTATAGTGGGGATGGTGTGCTGCTGACCTCAATTCGGGACGTTGTGGACCGGTGGGCGGAATAATTCGAAGACCTCCTCAATCCCACCAACATGCCTTCTGTTGAGGAAGATGAGCCTGGGGACTCTGGGTTGGGCTCTCCAATCTCTGGGGACGAGGTCGCCGAGGTGGTCAAAAAGTTCCTCGGTGGCAGGTCCCCTGGGGTGGATGAGATCCGCCCGGAGTTCCTTAAGGCTCTGGATATTGTAGGTATGTGTTGGCTCACGCGACTCTGCAATATCGCATGGACATTGGGGGCAGTTCCCCTAGATTGGCAGACTGGGGTGGTGGTCTCCCTGTTTAAAAAGGGGGACCGGAGAGTATGGTCCAATTACAGGGAGACCAGGGAAGTCAATTTTGACTTCCAATGATTCACTTCCTGCTAAAGAGCCCCCTGGTGGTTGAAGAAAAATCCACAGAAAAGCCGCACCGGGCTATAAGCCGCCGCAAGGATCAAAGCGTAGGAAAAAAGTAGCGGCTTATAGTCCGAAAAATACTGTATATTTTATTCATTAAAAATTGCTAATTATAACATATATTTTAATCTTAGCAATAAATATGATGGAAAAATGTTGCAATAGAATAGCAATAGAAGAAGTAGGGAGTGAGAAGATATTGTGCTGCTTTCAAACATAAGCTATAACAATTTACTGCCTCTGCTAAAAGTTATGAAAGAAGTTTATTCGCTGCTGTGGCTAAAGAAGATATATACGATGGTGATTAAAAGAAATTTAGTCAGTATTGCATTTGAGGTGTTTTTACATATAGCTAAAGGTTTTTTCAAAACAATTTGATCTCCATCTTTGCTTAAACAGCACTGGAGTAGGAGGTGTATACTCTGGTACACTATTAGTTTAAAATAACTTTAGAAGTAGAGATGTTATTATGTTTGTTATTCTGCTACTCCGTGTCTTCTTTTCTTTTACCTTTATGTTCAAATTTAACAGAGAACCTTATCTTATTCTTACTTTTTTATCATCTTTATTATCATCAACTTATTTGTTTGTGAATATGGGATAGCGTTTTGCAGCAGTGAACACAAACTGTCTGCATTTTCACCACTACTATTGGAGTAAGTAAAGAAGTCAGTAGTAACCACAATTCAAACTTTTGCACAACATATTCAGATATCCTCCATACCATCTTTGCTCTCCTTGTTGTCATCTTCATCCCGCAGCTCGGCCTCCGGGCCCGGCTTTGCCTCCAGCATCTCTTCATCTTCCTCTTCCTCCTCAACTGAAAGAGAGTAAAGGAAGAAGAAGAAGTAAAAAAAGAAAAACAAGCGAGAGAGCACTCATGTTAATCAACAGCTGTTCCAATTTTCCCCGACCTCCCTCTGCGTGCCTCCTCCCCCTGCTTCTTAACAAAATAATCATTCCCAGACATGCGTCGGTACACCTGACTAACATTCACCCCAAATGGGTTGCATTTACAAACAGAGAGGTGCTTGTAGTTGAAGCATGAATGCAGCTCAATTTCAGTCGGTTACATGTGTAAGTTAAGGTACTTTGCAGTGGGAACAGATATTTCAAAAGGGAACCTGCTTTTGAATTCTTCGATTGGACATAAACAGCCTACATGACTGAGCGCACTGGTCAACGCGAACCCAAATCACAAGCACACACAGTCCACAGGAAATGTAAGTCTTGAGCGCTTTCCTCTTCCACTCTTGACCTTCGACCCGCTGGAATAGAGACCCTGTGATGTGTATGTGTGTGTGTAAGAGGGGATTCCCTCTGCGTTTACTCTAATCAGGCTCCGCAATTATGTTTGACTCTCCAGGATTTATACTGAAGTCAATGCGGCGTGTGTGTGTGTGTGTGTGTGTGTGTGTGTGTGTGTCTCGGGTTCAACTCTGAAGGGTTACTGTCAACACAGGCACCTGCTTGTCAGCTACTGCCCCCGCCTCCCCTCGGGGTCTGTGTAGGTAACCTTCGCCAACCTCTCCTCGTTTCGGCAGCGCCCTCCCTCTGAAACAGATGCCGATAGTCGGGGGGCCCTCTCCGAAGACCTCTTAACACCCTGACACCGCGACCAGACACCTGTGGTCCGCCGGCGCGCACGCCAGACACACACACACACACACACAATCTGGCTTTCTCTCCCTCTCACACACACGCAAGCGGGGGCCCTCGCCCGCGGTGCCAGGGGCGGCGAGGGGTTAACTGGCAGGGTCGAGCTGACAACAGTTGCTCAGTCCAGTGGGAGGAAGTGACTACATCACACCCTCAGAAATGCTGCGCGCAGACACATGCACACGCAGACATGTCAGAGTGTGTTTAACTCAGCTGGAGCGCGGCCTAGGGCACCGATAAAACCACTCACTCGAGGGCTACTTTTACTCAACTGTCTCTTTATCGCTTGCACCGAGCTAAGCTTTTCATAAACTTCCTGCTTTGATTCAATTCTCGGTCTCTACGCGAGTTTGAATGTATAAAAAATACAATTTTAACCCTTTGATGGCCTCTTTTTGGACCATTGGATAATGAATGAATGAATGAATGAATGAATTTACCTTATTAATTCCAGTAGGAAATTCACATGAAAACATGGATGGATGGATGATCTGGAAATACAAAAAATTTTCTAACTAATTTTCTATTCTCATATAAGCAGTGAGCCAGACTTCAGAACGGCCTTACAGAGGTAGTAGCTAAGGGTCCCACGTTTTTTAGGGGACAGGAGGCATATAGTTAATCTTTTTTTTTTTTAAATAAATGCATGTTTTTCAGACATTGTATTTTATCTAAGAGTCATAGGACCATGTTGGGTGCATCGTAAAAATATTTTTGAGATTTTTATGACTAAACAGTAATCAGTTGTTTGAAAATTATGAAGTTAGAATATTCTTTTAGGAACAACATGGACGTATTACTTGTACCATACATCAGTTCATATAGTTTTACTTATTAATGTAGTGTAATTTGCCTTAGAATATATTTCTATTGGACTGGGCACCAAAACGCCAGCCCAGGGATCCCCATCTCTGTAAATTCGGCCCTGCTTATCCAGCCCTGGAAAACACTGAAATTCAACAAACTTTATCCAGAAACTCTATTAAAAAATGTTCTTGCATCATGTAACCGATCCAGAAGCTCGGTTATCAGTGTGATAAATCCTTGATTTAATTATAATATTAGCTTCCACAACACATCCTTCCATAACTCTGTCCACGTCTGTTTGTTTTTTTGCCTTTACTTCTTCCACTAAAACAGGCTTGATATATGACTTTAATTTTCATTCTGTATACATAATAAATGACTAAGCTAAATCAAATACATGGTGTTCAGCCTAGATCCAAGTTGGTGGTTAACAGCCAGTAGTCCTGATCCAAACACCAGTGACCCACCAGTGAGGAGGAGAGGCCAGAGAAACACAGACAGGCAGACTGCCAGACTAACTTCATGTCTGAGCAGCTAAAACAGATTTTAACAGAGCACACAGCAGTAGCACTATTTTCAGCAGTTTTTTTTTTCTCTCTTCCTTAAAGTGTTATTTCTCTCTGGTGTGGAGTTTTTTTTTTGCGCATCTGTCAATCATTTTCCCCCTCAACAAACTGCGGTTATTAAACCAAAAAGTGTCAGGAGGTGAAAAAAAAAAAAAAAAAAAAAGGAAAGCAGGAAGATACATTACACACACAGCTACTATTCTTCTCTATTTTCTTGACCTTATGTGACTGGTCCGGTGGTTGGAATGTGTGGTGATGGGGATGGGAGGAGTGTGAGGAGAGGAGGGAGACCACATTGAGGAGCGGTCAAACTGTCAGTCCGTGGGACCACAGGAGTCTGGAGCAAAGGAGCTTGATTCATGGCCTATGGGTTACCTCACGGAAGGGAGACGGTCCAATTCCCGTACGAAGATACTGCTGATGTCTCTGCCAATGGCCATGCATCAAGCAGTTCTGTCACAGTCCCGCACCAAAAATATCTCCACTATTTCCCTTCAGTGGGATGCTTTCAGAAATGTGTGTTTTTTTTTGTTGTTGTTGTTTTTTCCCCCTCCCTTACGTGCGTTCAGAAGGTCGAGCAAAAACGGGCAAATGACAGGAGATGAAAGAAATAACAAACACAAAACTTTATGTAAAGTGTCGGAGCAAAAAACACGCGGAAAGGATCCACATGGTTTCTTATTGCATTGTAAAAAAGAAGCAGCGACGGGAAATTATAAGAGACAATCTCACAGTGTGAATGTGTCTGCCTGCCATCCCTAAGTATCGGCACATCCTTCCTGTCTCTACCTTATTCTGGTCACGAGACGCTTTCCTTTCTCCACCTGCCGCTTAATACCTCTCCTCGCAGCGGGACGACCGTTTAACTGGTATCCTCCCCGCTCAACGCAGACGGGGGGTCCACCATGATGAAACGCCACTTGGGGGCTCCCGTTTTGGCCGGCCACACGCCCGGGGTAATGATATCCTCGGCGGCCCGAGCGTCTGCATCTGGCTGCTTCAATCTTCTCCCAGCTGCTTACTCATGCTGACCGGGTCCAGTCAATTCAGAGCAGCCCAGCAGGCATGAAGGAGATATATATCGAGGGGTAAAAGAGAGAATACACACACCATCCACACACCTCGGATCGCTTCAAACAACTCGCTCTGGTGCAGCAACAAATGTTTTGTCAGACCAATCTGAAAAGCAAAAAATAAATATGCACCTATTGTTACCCAACACAAAAATACCTCACATGCTCATATTCTCAAATTTTGGAAAAAGGAACTTGCTGTTTAAGACCTCACGTGACCTCACCACGAACGAATGGTCTTAAGTAAGGGATTGAAAACCTCTAAGACACACTGAGATCCGATTGCACCACATTTTGAGGTGTTTTGGGAATGTGTGAGGTCACATTATTTTTGCGGGGTGAATGTTAATGTGTAACGGCTAAACATTTAACTAGCATCCACTACTGATAAAATAAGGGCCAGTTTATGAGTTCTAGAAACTTCAACTACAATATAGTTATTCTGTTGGCAAAGCTGTTTGCATGAAATAAGGCACATCTCTGGTTAAAATGTACTAAAAGCCTAAAAGAGACAGAACATTAACGAATAGCTGTTTTCCTGTAGTCCTGTTTCTTAATTTATGAAGATCAGCACGCCACTGCCTTATTTGAATGTCTTTCCCATTTTGCGCAGTTGCTAAGAGAAATGGGCCTTAGTGTCAAGTCATATTCACAATCCAGTGAATTAAAAGTTCCAGCACACTCTCACCAACTTACAAAAGTAAAACGGAAATTTAAAAATGTATTAAACGTAACGTACAGATTTTGTTGATAACATCCGAATTGCTACCGCTACAAAAGATGCACTGATTTCAAAACAAGTTAAGGATTTTAAAATAACATTTCCGTTCTCGTTCTTCTGTGTTTTTACTGATTTTTACTCAGCTCTCTGATTCCTTATTCGTCCCTCGATTACCCTGTGTCCATTTTGCTCTGTTCTTTTCTTCAGTACCTTTGCGCTGTGCACCTCTTACAGCTGTTCCCCGTATGCAATCACTCACCTGTCTTGTTCCAGTAATCACCTCCCAAGCATAAGCAGCTCTCTGACTCCTTAATCTCGTGTCACTTCCTGTTTTTCTACCAGCAGTTCGGTTTTGGTTGGTTTGAATTTGGGCTGCTCTCCCCATTGAGTTCTGGATTTGTTTTGCTGAGCTGGTTGCTGTTAGTAATTACTAAAAATACTAAAGAGTACATTTTTGTTTCTCATCTGCATACCTGTTATAGCTTAGGTTTCAGTGTAGTAGGGTAATGACATCTTTTTACTACAACAATTAATTTTAGGATACAAGATGAAATGTTACATCTTGCATGGCACAACACAGGATTTCTTTGTTCGGTTTTGCATGATGTGAGGATGTAGGTACAAAAACTTTCCTAGAATCATCCATGGTTGATTCTTATATATTAGGTCTGTTTCAACTAATATGTAGTCAAATATGAATCCAAAATAGCCAGCTTGCATTTTCAGAAAACAAGAAGGATCTTTGAAATGTTTGTTATTAGGGCTCCAACATTATAAGGAGATTTAAACACTGGCAGAAGTTTCAACAGAAATAGTATAATTATAAAGTCCAACAATCCTAATCCTGGAAGTTAAATATCACTTTGAATCCAGCTTGTCCATGTTATTGATATCCCTGTCGACAAAACCAAAACAGCGGAGCCCGAAAATGAATGGCTCATCGATATAAATCTTTACTGCCATAATGAGGTAATGCAAATGCATTTCTAATGACTCCTGTTACGAAAAGCAGTCTAACCGTAAAAATCTGGGACGTTTTGCAGTTCCAGTT